TATCTACCTCCTTCACCACCAACGAGTCGTCCACCACCACCACCACCACCTTATGTACCTCCTTCACCCCCAACGAGTCGTCCACCACTACCACCTCATCTACCTCCTTCACCACCAACGAGTCGACCACCACCACCACCACCACCTTATCTACCTCCTCCACCACCACCAACTCGTCCACCACCACCACCACCTTATCTACCTCCTCCACCACCACCAACTCGTCCACCACCACCACCACCTTATCTACCTCCTCCACCACCACCAACTCGTCCACCACCACCACCACCTTATCTACCTCCTCCACCACCACCAACTCGTCCACCACCACCACCACCTTATCTACCTCCTCCACCACCACCAACTCGTCCACCACCACCACCACCTTATCTACCTCCTTCACCACCACCGAGTCGTCCACCACCACCACCACCACCTTATGTACCTCCTTCACCACCAACGAGTCGTCCACCACTACCACCTTATCTACCTCCTTCACCACCAACGAGTCGTCCACCACCATCACCACCACCTTATGTACCTCCTTCACCCCCAACGAGTCGTCCACCACTACCACCTTAACTATCTCCTTCACCACAACCGAGTCCCCCACCACCATCACCACCACCTTCTGTACCTCCTCCACCACCAACGAGTCGTCCACCATCATCGCAACCTCCACTAACACAACCACCCCCAACTAGACCAACATCTTTACCTCCTTCACCACCAACAAGTCGTCCACCATCATCGCAACCTCCAATAACACGACCCCCAACTGGACCAACATATTTACCTCCTTCACCACCAACAAGTCGTCCACCATCATCGCAACCTCCAATAACACGACCCCCAACTGGACCAACATATTTACCTCCTTCACCACCAACAAGTCGTCCACCATCATCGCAACCTCCAATAACACGACCACCCGTAACTGAACCAACATATTTACCTCCTTCACCATCAACAAGTCGTCCACCATCATCGCAACCTCCAATAACACGACCGCCCCCAACTGAACCAACATATTTACCTCCTTCACCATCAACAAGTCGTCCACCATCATCGCAACCTCCAATAACACGACCGCCCCCAACTGAACCAACATATTTACCTCCTTCACCACCTGTAACACGTCCACCTGCGCCTCCATCTTCACCTGTTACACGTCCATCTTCACCTTCATTTCCACCTGTTACACGTCCAACATCTCCCTCCTCCTATGTACCTCCGATAAATACAAAGCCATCGACCCAAGGCAATACGTATTTGCCTCCTGATACTACTCAAAGAACTACTACTCCAAGAATTCCAATAACCACTCCAATTTCAACTACGTATACATCTACACCTACTTTCTATCCAAGTACGCGACCTCCGCCATATCTTCCACCTTCCACATCTCGCGTCACAGTGAAAGTATCGTCATGGACTCCACCCTCCGTAATGTACACCAGTGTGCCAACATCGACGATCTACATTCCATTGCCAACTGGCAAACCCGCTTCGCCACCTACTATACCACCAACCACGAAGAGGCCCATTGGCTACTTCTATCCCGTGCCGGAGAATCCGTTAGAGTTGCCGCCGTTCGATGACGAGAGGCAATTTAGTTGAACTGATAATTTCATACTACTATATTTCTTTTTTTTTTAATTTTTATATGTATAGTATACAAAGCTATTTATGGATCCGCATAGGAGATGATACTGTAATCGACAATGGAAAAGAAACGAAAACGATAGAGTGGACTGGATCCTCAGTTGCTCGTATCGTATATGCGTGTAATCGTAACGTAAGATAACGTAACAATTCGATCCAACTTGCGAGAATATAATTTTCCATTGATCGACTATTGAGAAATTATCGATGATGACCTCCCGTCACGTTTGTAAATTTTGTACAATCTAACACACGCATACAATAGAAGAAATAAAAATTTGTATAAAGAGTAGAACGTCGTAACGTGTTTCATTTTCACGAAGTGTCGAAACCTTTCGAACTTTTGATATTTTCAAAGTGAAGTATCGAACACCTGATTCGCCAGAGGGATCGGGGCAATCACTTTTTCGCCTACGACATCCTTTGTGCACATGAATATTACGAAACGTGCTTAACAATCTCGAATAAAAAGAATTATCCAAATATGATTACGAGTCGCATTTCTCTGTTGCAATCGATTCTCTTACAACATGCTGTGTAATTACAGTGACTATCCTTCCGCGTAAGGATGACGATGATAGTTCAGTTTATCCAATAATCGTATCACCGTGACATTGATATTCTGTCTTAGATTATCGTCCAATGATATATTTGATTCGAATCTCGTTACGTGGTAAGTAGCCCATAACCTATCTCCTACTACCATAACGAGCCTCCCCCACGTACAAAGAAATTTTCTACATTCGTGATGGAATCCAACCAGTGAAAACTCCGTTGCGAGAAATGAATGCTCGTTAGTTGTATATGGAGCTTGGAAAGAATAGTCTCGTGGCCTTGCAACGTAGAATTTGTAAAATCGATTACCATCCAGTCAATTCAAATTTTATTATCGATCGTAATAGAATATATGTAATTTTTATATAATTATACCGTATCGGCAAATAAACATCACAGTCTCGTGACGAAGAATTGACTTAAGTGTCGTCAAAATTTCGAAAAATGTCATGTGAATAATCAAAGAGGATAAGAATCGACAGATTTAAAGGACATGCTTGAAACCGGGCGTAGAACCGTAATCAATACGTCTCAGCTTGGACTTTATTCCGATAACGGTGATCGATATCGTAGAAATCGATACAATTCCATTACCAGGAAATTCGTGATTGGAGTTATGGTAGTGGTGGTAGTGGTGTTAGTAAGTAATTCAAATGTTATATTAAATTATATTATATACTAATCAGAAATTAAAACTCACCCTTCACCTTTTTGAGTCGTCAAGATGGATAATTCATGCAATTGCGAAATACGTCATCGATTAATAACGTAATATTTAAGAGAATATATATATATACTTCACATTGCTGCATCTTCTAACAGAAAAGGTTGCAAAGATAAATTTATTAAAACAGAAAAATCGTAGAAAAGAGTCGTAACTCTGCACACATTTGCCGAGTCAAACATTTGCACACTGCTCACCTAATAAATATCTCTTATCTTATGTCCTCGTTTCAAAGAGGACCATCTTTCATCTTTCATCTGCGAAATACTCACGAAAAATCCATGCATATTGCCGCGCTATCCATCAAGTTCAATGACTCGGCCCCCATGATCGACGAGCATTACGTATCGATCGTTAACAAGCGCATTATGTTCCACCGTGTTAAAAAACATTATATTGCACGTACGATAAATTTTTTAACGAGCATTATACAAACAAGACACTTCCGTAACTAACCGTTTAAAATATTCATAATGGAAGAATCGTGGCGAAGAGAATACAATTTTCTAATTGGTAGAAAGTTAATTTTCAAGGATATTTAATTTTGAGATTTGTTGAATCGATTCTACAACAACGATTATTAATTAAAGAAGGAAAAGAAAAGAGGAAAGTGGTACTAAACGTTCGCGTTTTACAGTGACAAACGTTCCTTTCAAAAGTAAAGTTCTTTTTTTTTTTTCTTTTTTTATCGCTCGGCGCCTTAATGAGGCGCCATTGTGAAGAACAATGGGCGCAATTACAATCTCGCGGATTTTCTCCCATGATTAATGCAACAAGCATGGTAGCGCCACGGTTAAAAATCAACAATTTCACCGAGAAGGATCTCGTTTGTGGATTCGCATGCATGACGGGCCAAGCGTCGCAAACCAGATTTCTGCGTGATTCACATATAGGGCGTTAACTGTGTTTTGACACGAATTAGTTTGGAGGAATGGAATCTGGTTTGATGCTTAATGAATGAACGAGAACGATGGAGAAAATGTGATGGTCGTTCGGAGATTGATATCAAATAGATATCTTCGGTTCGGTTTAGAAAGAAAACGATACTTTCTGTAAATATATTTCACGATTGAACGAATTTGATTAATTTAATCGAAACAGCCTACTTTTTAAAATTATATACCTTTTTCGAATTATAGGTACGATGTAATTTCTTCTAATGTGTAATAAAATTCCAATTTCAAAATAATGAAACATTATTTCTTATGATTCAGATTTTAATCTTAGTTCAATTCATATTAATGGATGGAATATCTTAGAAAATGTTTTTTTCTTTTTCCTTTGTTTTACTTTATCTTATATATATTTTTCTAAATTATGAATTTTTAATCGTAAATTAAATATAAATTAAATTCGAGAAATCATCATACTTTTTCTGTTTTAGATTGGAATATTTTTGTACGATTTCGCGTCCGCGTCATCGGTGAACAATAAACTGAATCAGGAATCAAAGCACATGTACATCTTGCAAAATGCGCTTAAGAAACCGTCGAACTTAACAAAAAAATTATACAACTCCACTGTTTCGCCAGAAGTGAATAGAACTAGCTCCATTTACATTCAAGATCGCTCAGACAATGAGAGCTATGAGAATCTGTTTCCTTACGAGGGGGCGGCCGATCAGAATGTGGCCGATCCCGAGTTTAAGTCGCAGAACCTGAATAACTTCAAACTGAGGAAAAGAGTGCTGAAATCGGTGGACGGGGCGGCAGAGGGGAAACAGTTGTTCGACAATCACGCGATTGTTTATCGTGTGAAACAAAGGTAGAATGTTTCCAGATTGAAATCAAAAACTTGGACATATTTTATATAAAGAGGGCAAAGATAAAATCGTATCGACAAATTACGGGAGAAAATTTATTATATATAAATCATTTTTAATTATTTTAGAGAAATATTTCCATTCAAATAATACACGGACGATTTATGCGACTACCTTTCTTGTAACACGACAAAATAAAAAATTCGATATGGTTTCTCGAGTCGTAAAAAAAATGTCATAAAGAGTATGATTTATATAGCGGCTTATTTCAATCTTCGACAACGAGAAAATTTTTATGTACGAGATAAGCACGGTAAAAGGATATTATGCATTTAATACGACTGTTACATAACGGCTGTTGCAAAATCCATTACTGCTTTTGAGTGTTAAATTAATTATATTCGTCACATTTTTTTTTTTCACGATACAAAAGTTAATAAATTCCCTCTGGTAACTCGCACACATTTCTGACTCGTGTTCCACGTGTAAATTTACATTAACTGATTATCTTCAGCTCCATTGTACCAGATGTGTACGCGTTTGCAGCCTATAATAAATCACCGTTTCGATCGTTAATCGTCGAGAAACACTTTCTATTCTTCGACAACATCTCTTTCGCCTCGAATATCGCTCTATTATCCGTCATCCGATATTCAAACGAATCTCGATCCAACCAGAAAAATTTTAAATTCTATTCTCTCACACGTCCCTATCCTCGTTTAAAATTACAAGAAAATTAAAAATAAATTTCAATTTCATTTCGTTGAATCACAAATTCTTTGTTTAACATAATGAAAATTTCTTATTTAAATTAATAACCTGTACTGTGCATGATGAACGTGTGTTTAAAATTAAATATATATATATTATAAACAGGCACAAATATCCTCCAGCCTCGAGCGAGGATGAAAGTTCAGAAGAGAGTCGACCGACTCCTTTTCACTGGGAGTTGAAGACACCGCAGCCGACCGCCTTCAAACGTCAAAGATATCCTCAGTTGTCCCAATACAGATATCCCTACGCGTCCAGGAACATTCAAGACATCATAAAGTATCTGACGAACGACGCCGACCTGCCGAATAGGGGCATCAAGTTTGCAGGAGTGTACGTGAATCCGAAGAAATACGATTTGTTCCCCCCTGGGGTTGGGGAGATGATGTCCAACAGCGATAGATCGGAAGAAGATGAAAGTTCTTATCCTTCGAACGAGGATCCGTTTTATCAATATAAACCGAGACATCCCACGGACGTGAATCTGTTGGCCACGTCTAATGTCAGGTTTGTAGACGAGCAAAGTGTTTGATTAATTCGATGGAGCATAGAAAATTGATCATGCAAATTGATTTGCTTTGACCAGCTTTCCCAAGTAACTGGTGATAATTAAAATTCTCGAAAGAGCGAAAAAGATACTATGAATCTTTCGAAATCCTTTGATTCAATTGGCCTCTCTTTTTTTGGAATTTATATATTTTTGCTTTGGCAAAGAATATATAGGTATTTAAATAATTGTATGGAATATACAATTATCGTCGTTGGACATCGACTTGACAAATTTTTCTCTTACAATTAGAGATTAATCGAAGGGTATAAGAATAAAAGTAGAAGCAAAATGATCACTCAATCGAACTTTTCCAGATTTTCGCCAACGGGTCTTCATAAGTACAATTACGAGTATGGACGTCCTATGAATTACTACAAACCGACATCCATGGAATCTCTATACGAGAATCCAATTTCTTATTCCAATAATTATTCCAAGAAACGTAAACCGCAACCGTTCAGCGTCATGTTGGATATTTACCCGATCACCGACATCGTGGAGAATCAAAACAAGAAAGGGAACAGGCCGAGACAGGTGCCAGTGGAGGATTACGAGGTGAGAAGACCGATTCAGTACAACAGGGGGCCGAAATTTTATTCTCCGCCCCCGCAGACCTTGAGTGACGAGGAGGAAAGGCAACAAATGGTATTCCATTTGAATCTGTATCCAAGAAAGAAGAACAAGATGACCAGGTAAGATCCGATATTTATCCTCACAGAAATATCCAAATTATATAAAACGTATAAAACATATTCGATTTCGATTGCAAAACATTTTATCCTCCATCCAGTGAAATTAGAATCGTGGACAAATAAATATCCATGGAAAAATAATAATTACAAAATAAGTTGAAGTATGTTGAGGTAAACACTCTCATGATCGAACATAATAAATAAAATTTCCGTGTATCTCAAGTATCTCCAAGCAATG